GAAACTTCTTAAAAGTCATTTACAAATAGTAGGAACTGTACATTTATTTCAAATGATCTAATTCAGTGTAATCTTTCTTAAAATTAACCCCCCCCCCCAAATGTATTAAAAAAACACACTGTTACAGTGAATTCACACATACACCTTGTTCGGTAACTGCATTTAAAAAAATACAAATGAACTTCATTCTAATAAGAAAATTTATTTATTAATTTAAAAAAAAAAGATAATTATTAATTATTGTTGTCTAGAACTTGAGATGACAATATGATTGTAACTTGTAAATATTTCATTTTTGAGAACCTATGTTCAGTGTAAAAAAGTTTTTTTTTCATCATGTGGGACACTAGAAGATTGTGACGATCAGATAAACTCTTGTATATAATTTGGAACTCTCTAGTTAAGAGAAGACTACGTTTAGTTGTCAAACAATCAGAATCAAGTATGAAAGTATAAAAGCGCTGTCATCTGAGTGCAGTAACACTTTACATTCTGTCAGTCAGTAGGAGAGTCGGTAGCTGCAGTAGACTTAAGATAAGGTGCGACAGGGATTAGACGTGACTGAACAAGTATTTCCTTCCTAGCTTACATTAAGTGAAGCTTTAAATAAATAAAGTAAAACTTAATTATAAATCAGTAAGCCAGCAGTGAGACATAATTGAGACGCATAGGCCTAAATAGAGTTTTTAATTGCTACCCCGTCCATTAGTTATTTTTTGTTGTATATAATTTAAATTCTCTTTGTTAGGTTCTCAGAAGTAATCTGAGCTTTCCTATGAATCACTTTTGAGCAAGTAGCTCAATCTAAATTGAGAGTTAATATTCTTGTATATATTTTTGATTATTTTATATTATTGTTGCAACATCCGCTCGGTTACACGCCACAAAATGTATGCAAAATGAAAGAAAACCTTTTGAAAATAAAAATTCACTCCCGCTACCACTACAATGTAACTCACACTGTCTTCGTTCAGTACAACTTAGATGGGGAAATTAATGGATGGTACTGCACCTGTAAGGTGGGTTCCAGAGTAGTAGGCTAATGTGTCCATGTCTCAAGTGTCTTGTGGTACCACGGTTATCAAAGGTTACACGAAAATCAACCAACGCCAAGCTTTGACTTTTCTAAGTTTATCCTGGATGCCGGTGAGCTGCCACACTTAGACTGGGAATCAGACTGTAGTTCTGTCATGGAAGAGTAGATCAATTTCTTAATGCGTGTTAAAGAACCTGTATTTTGAGAACTTTAGATTAGAATTATACGATCAATACAGACACGTAGCATCGTTTTTGAAAGGGGTGGGGGGGGGGGCAACCTCGGAAATTTTGACCGCCCAAGATTGAATTACTATGAACATATATAGAACATGACTTGAGGGTCCCCTGTGGCTTTCCATACTTATCGTTGTCAAGAGCTTCTTCTGAGGGTGGAGTTAATCGGGACCCAAAGGGTTGAATCACTGCTAAAACTGCAAAATTTTCAAACTGATAAGAAGTCATCATCTCAATAAGTTGTTGGTCTGTGTTGTGTAAGTTGTGTAAGTAATACATGTAAGTGGTTTCAGTGTAGATTTTGTGTATTAGATAAAATCGTAAGTGCAGGTTTGGCGTACCCAAGTGCATGTATGTTGAACAGAGACTCAGGTGTTCGGAAATTTCGAGTTGTTTCAGTCAAGTTTGATTTCGTTTTTATCTTTACTTTTGTCCTTCAAGTATGCTGCAAGGTTGAAATAACTCATTGACTATAGGCGGGTTTTTATGCAAAGGAAAACCTATACAAAGTATATTATTATCGAAGAACAATCTTAATTAAGGAAGCCATTTTTGAAGAGGGAGCAAAGAAAGGATCAGGAGTGATTCACGGGCATGGTATTCACAGGTGATCACAAGGATTCAAAGTGGTTTAAAAAATTGACTGCGTTTGGAAGTAATGTATCTTGGGCAATGCAATCTTGGGATATGAAATCATGGCCTAGTCAAGATTTAAAACATGGGATATATCTTTAGTTATGTATACATCAAGTGTTGAACTTGAAAATTAGTATGGAAACATTTTGTCCGGAGTCTAGCTGTCCGTATGTCTGTAAAGCAAGTATTTGGTTATACCTTGAAAATTTGACAAGAAATGAAAACATCACTGATTCAGATTCTAGAGGTAGAAATAACACTTTTTACGAACATGAACTGCTAAAAGTCATCATAAAGATTATAGATACAAATATGAAATATCTTTATCAAATGTCATGAAATGATTTAACATTAAAATATGTGAACAAAGTATACGGAAAGGAAAAAGAAAAGCAGGGTAGCATAATACTCGGAATAAAAAAATCACAGCATATGGCGAAAAATTGGTCAGATGAGAAATTAAGTTACTGTGCACCAAAATCAGTGTTCTGAAGTATTCAGCCGTGAAATTATTAAGCCACATAGGGAAAACACTATAAAACCCATAACACAAGCGTTTTGATGACAAAAAATGTTGCCAACACATCTTGTTGCACCATTTGACGTACCTGGGATATACAAATTATTTTTCAATATTTAGAGATGATATGGATTTCTTGCAATCTTGGAACAGTTTACGGAAGTTCCATGGGGTCTGAATTTCGTATTGTCTAATTAATGTAAAAGGCAACAAAAGGTGCCTTAGCAGTTTCTTGTAAAATTTCCCCCATAAAACTTGTTACAAGTTATAAAACTTGTTACCCATTGTCATAGAATTTAATTCTTTGAAAGTTGTTATATAATACTAAGGTAACATATAAGGCCCGTGGACCTCTAGTTTTTTTGAAAGAATTTGATTCATAACAGTTCCTCTCAATTTTTAGGGCCCCGCTTGGCGGGCGCCCTATAGTGATCAGTCCGTCCGTCCGTCCGTCCGAGATCTTTTGTCCGGGGCATATCTTCTCTCTCCTTGGCCCAATCTGGCTCATGCTTCACCTACAGAGTGCCTATGGGTAACCTGTGTGCAGTGACCTTGAACCAGGTTTGTAGGTCAAAGGTCAAGGTCATAGCTGAATAATATGAAAAATCCCTGTCCGGAGCATATCTTCTCTCTCCTTGGCCCAATCTGGCTCATACTTCACCCACAGAGTGCCTTTGGGTAACCTGTGTGCAGTGACCTTGAACCAGGTTTTTAGGTCAAAGGTTAAGGTCCCCATGGGTTAGAGTGTCACTTGTATAAGATAAAATATTTCCTTAACCCTACAATTCATGGTGGCAAGTTTGGTTGAAATTGTGATAGTGGTTCTGGAGGAACCCCCCCCCCCCGGAAAAAAAAGAGAGAAGACTATGAATACCACAAAGAAGAAAAATAATAGCAGCATTTTAAAAAGAATATCTTACGCTATGGGTTCAGGTGATCTAAAAAGTATTAGTGTAAACTGATACTGTCTGGTACATGCTCGAGCTCTTATTCAAGATATTTGATAAAAATACCCATTACAAAATTAAAAAGGCTTCAAAGATAAATTTGTCAATCTTGGCATGTCTACATGTTCGTACTTGTTTTAAAAATTTTAATCAATATCAAATTTTTGACTAAATAATTGATAACACATAGCTGTGGAAATGTTGACTCTGGTCGAGTTTCAAAATGAATAAAGGAATAATCTTGGTAGTACAAAATCAGCCAAAATTTCACATCTCAGTTTGCACATTTACCTTTGGAAAAGCCAGTAGTGGTGTATCCTGTGTTTGAAAAATCTGGTAACCAAATTGGTTGACATTTTTTTGGTATGAGGTGGAATATTACATTTATTGAGAAGTCATTACAAAATAAATGGAATGTACATAAATATTTATTAGGAATATTACAGGAATTGGATCTGCTTTTTTTATCAGGAAAAGGTTGTACACATGTCATCATCTAAAATAATACTTGACATGTCTCTTGTGATGGGTCAAGATGCCGGAAAATTCATAACTGAAAATCTGACAAGTTATATACAATACAATGTCTTAATAAAAAAGTGCCGAGATAATGCAGAATGTAAAATACAAAAATCAAAATTTAGGTATGAATATATTAACCAATATCTATGCCCATTCCTAATGCTGATGTAGCAATATTAAGTCTTTTTTTCTCCTTTTTGTTGATTATACTTTATTTATTATATAATTATTATTTTCTTATCCATTTGTTAAATTATATTTTTTTTCTCATTTCTCTTTCTCTCTCTCTCTCTCTCTCTCTCTCTGAATAAATTCCAAATATGTACCATTTTATAATCATCTTTTCATACACTTTCCTATGTTTTCATGTACTTGTGATTGTACCTTGACCCATGGAGAGAACGATCATAGGCATTTATGGCTGCTGTTCAATCCATTTCATTAAATGAACAAGATATATTTTAAACTAATATTAACTCGTTTCGCCCTCTGATTTTGGGAGTTCTTCAATAATACATTTCTTTTTACAATTGGCGTTCCTGAATGAAACATTTGATTTTTCTTGTCTAGTTCTTAGTACACATAATGATACACATAAGCAACATCTGTAATAGATTTACAATAAATGAGAATTTTTGGCAAACTTATAGTACTAGAATTACCAACAGATACTTACCAATACATGGCTGAGGCAATTACTGATGTAGCAATCATAACTCTCAATGCACTATATGATTTTGCGAGTTCTTCAATTATAAATTTCTATTTTACTCTTGGCTTTTTCAGAATACAACATTTTTATTTCATTTTTCCTGTCAGGTTCTGAGTACACATAATGATACACATTTGCAAAATATGTAAAAGATTTACAATAAAGGAGAAAGTTTGGCAAACTTATAGTTTAGTACTAGAATTACCAGCAGATACTAACCAGTACAAAAGTCATGGCCGAGGCAATTTCATTGTCAACCTTCTTTACACATAGTTTAATTTTCGGTTTGTCCGGAGAGACTGAAACAAAATTAACATCGTCTAAATTTATACATAACACTTTCAAAACCCTTTTCTTGATCTTTTTTGTACACGTTGCACTCAATGCTAATATGGTGGCAGATGGATGTAATGTCCGAAACTCTCCAGTATGACGGAATCATTTTCTGAACACACATTTCTCTTTATCAATCTCATCTCCATTCCTGTTAGAAAAATAAATTAAGAATGATTCAGTAAAATCAGCAATTGACTGGTCTGTATTATGTGGTTTTAAATTTAAATGCCTCAAGTCTACAAGTAGCGAGGAGAAAAAGGATGCTCAGGACAAGGATTTTTCATATGTCTGCTATGACCTTAACCTTTTATCTACAAACATGGTTCAAGGTCACCGCACACCGATTACCTAAGGGCACTCTTTGGGTGAAGTATGAGCCAGATTGGGCGAAAGGGAGAGAAGATATGCTCCGGACAAGAGATCTCGAACGGACGGACGGACAGACTGATCACTACATGGCGCCCGCCTAGCGGAGCCCTAATTAGGGCCCCTCAAGGATTTGCGGGTGCCCTATAGTAATCACTCTGTCTGTCCGTCTGTCTGTCTTCCGTCCACAAATTTTCTGATTTTTTCTAATAACTTTTTTTATGGTTGCCCAATCAAGTTCTAATTTGGTATGGTAGTTTAGTAGGCAGATATACATATTTTGATGCTAAGTTTGGTTCTCTATGTCCCCTGGTTTGGAGCTGGGATGGTGGGGTAGATTCCTTAACTTTAGAATGCATTGGCAAAGAGAGATAACTGCTGAAGATGTTCCCATTGTAAAATGAATGCTGGCTATGAGTCCTTTGGGATTAATTAGGTTTCCTCCTGAAGAAAATCCAGAGCATTATCTTTATCTGTCACATTGAGATGAATTACCACCTCTGTCTGCAAATAAAGTTTGTTTTGAAGTTAAGTCAATTTGGAATGCTATGAACACTGTGAAATGTGGATTTAGATATAAATTTTTATAATTTATTTTTCTTTCATAGTTATGATTTCATTGAATTCTAAAAACAAAAAATAGATTAAAGAAGATTTTTTGAATTACTTTTTTCTACTTTATGTTAATTAATTTTTAAGGTAGTTTTATAAAAACCCCATTCTATCATTAATACTGAAAAAAGTTCTTGTTTTCTTGTTATAAATTTAGAAGTATCTAGAAGTATCTAGCCTGCTGCAAAAAATTTAGTAGGCTTTTCTTTATCTTTAAGATTAATGTAAACCTTTGTCTGCAACTGCTGTTTGTTTGAAGTTAAGGTCAAGCCTTCATGATATTTGCATTCATTGAAGGCTGGCATTCTATATAACTTAAGCTTCATAATTGTTTAATACATTCAATGTTAAATTGTTCTTTACTGCCTAAAGTAAATACAAGGATATCATTTCAAGTTTTTGAATATTCAGGAATCATCTTTAAATTTTAAGAATAAAGTTGCTGTTGCTCATTCTTCGTACATTTTTTAATCATTCTGTAAGCTGCACCCTTTTAATTCTACCCCATGGCGGGGCCCTTGCTGACTGGTCAGTTTTCTAGTTAAAATCTAACATCTGTGACATGTAAGATATGTACTAGATATACGAAACTATACCAGAAAAGCGGGTTGGGTTCCACGGATGAATTGTAGGTTGAAAACGAGGTGGTTTAGCCATATCTCTTGCAGTTTATAGGTATATAAAAATGTTAATCTTCAATTTGCGTGGTAGCTTAGGTCAAGGGCACGGGCCTGGAAGCTGATGCGACTGCGGCAAAAAAGTGAATATAGGCTTGATTTACCTTAAATTTTGAGGCTATCCCTGCACCATCTTTAAGGAAGGATATGGAAATAACGAACAGTTTGTAGAAGAAAAGAAATATTTTTAATTTAATTTATTAGAAAGAGGTTCAAGGAATGATTGAAGAACAGAGGTCAATCCATCAAGAAGACAGATACTACTTAAGAATTAAGACTGATCAAGATCAAGGTAATTCTAATACCGCTCAATGGTAATAATTTTTCCGAAATGATCATTGTATGAAATCATTGGAACTGTGCAAAAATACCAATATTCCGATTCAGAAGTATAATTGATGTTCCTTTTTATTGTATTGCAATGCACTAATGTAGATAACTAAAATTTTGTGACACCTTATTTTTCGCAATAAAGACATTCATTTGTTATAAGTGAGGAAAACATTTCCAAAATTGTGGTCACTGATTTATATAATAAGGGCCCCGCTCGGCGGGCGCCCTATTGTGATTTAAGTCTGGCACAAACGTTCTTATATGAAAATTAAGTTCTCATTGATATGAAGTGATTGACAGTCTACTAGCTAATTGCTCTGACTGGAATTAGATTTAAAATGTAATGTAATTAATGTCAGAAAGATTTGCTATAGTACTAGACAGTAGGTCTATCATATAAAATTTAGCTTAATGACTCTCATTTCTGTATTTTTTAGGACAGCCATTTTTAATTAGATTGAAAATATATTGCAACACACAATTCACTATGCCTTTAAACAGTATTGCAGTATATTGCAATGTAAAATTGCCTGCCAATAGCCAGGCCTATAGAAATCACACAAAATGAATTGACATGCCATTGTTGTTTGTGTATGGATTTAGAACATCCTGTGAGCGGTGATCCAGATGAAAGGTTATTTGTTGATGAAGACCTGTTCATTGGAAATTATGGAAAGAGTGGTGATGGAGTCAACAAATTACTGTACGTCTATCAGACTGCTTGGCAAAGACAACTGCTAAATAGATATGGAAATGAGATCTGTCTTCTGGATGCAACATACAGAACAACCAGATACACCTTGCCTCTTTATTTCCTTTGTGTTCCTACAAATGTAAACTACATGACCGTTGCTACATTCATAGTTGAAACAGAGGACAGTGTATCCATCCAAGAAGCCCTATCTATTATAAAATCATGGAACCCAAACTGGAAGCCAGCATATTTTATGTGTGACTATGCAGATGAAGAAATATCCTCTATTGAATCTGTTTTTCCAGGTATTTTAATGAATATTTTTGTACATACTATTTTCAGTCGTTTTACTGTTTCTAATTACAAGTATGCTCTGAGCAGATCATTTTCTTTTTTTTTTTTAAATTTGCTTCATATATACTCTTTGAATTGAAAAATCAAGACATTTATTAAGGTCCTTGTGGGAACTTCCAATGAATTTATATCATTACATGTTCATGTAGGTGGAACGTGTATGTTATCTCAAACACATCATACATTTTTATTTTATTTTTTAAGAGTCCTTTGTCTACCTTTGTGATTTCCATCGAGAGCAGGCATGGGAGAGATGGCTTAAAGCAACTCACAATGGCATTGGAGATGATAAAGATGAAATTTTATCTTTGTTACGCTCTGTAGCAAGATCCAAAACCAATGAAGAGTTTGAACTGTCAAATAACAGATTAAAGGTACAGTAAAACTCGGTTATAACGAAGTCACAGGGACTTATGAAATTACTAAGAAATTCATTAAATTTAAGGTACATATACCTTGAGACGCAAGGATGCTAAGCTGAAACGAAAGCGCCTGAGAAATGCACAACCAAGCGTCAAAAGAAGAAGACTGGGAATGAAAGTTGAAGGGCAATCTAAGAATGCATCGCAGTCTGTTCTTGAAGGTACATGTGTATGTACATCTATTTAATATTGGCTAATTTTGAGCGGTTTCATTACCTTTAATATATTTACTCGTACATGTATATAGATACAATCTAAAAAAAGAATTGTTTTCAAGTAGATACATATAAGCCAGGGAGTAAATACAATTTGGGATAAAAAATTATCTGGAGTTCTGTTACTGTTATTAAGTTTCAATTCCCAACTGCTTATTAAAGTACTTTTCTTTTCCTTTGCTGTAAGTACAAACCAGTAGAGCTTCAGTCTCGACAAATACTTCAGGTCTTTAATGCACTCTAAACTGTTTATATACCATTTGAACATTATATTTGACAGGTGTCTCATATACTGTGGCATTTCACTTTATTTAACAAAACAAAATTTTGTAAAATTTTTACAATTGCCATGTTAAACATTTATGAAAATAAATCTTCTTTAAAAAGGTAGTTGAATGTAGAAGATTTGAAGTTGACAAGCAAGTTGTATGGCAGTATCTCCATCCACCTGAGAAGATTGATTGATTATTGTTTTTTTACGCGGAGTCGGCAATATTTCAGCCATATTTCGGCGGAGAAATTTAAATACTGTATGAACGGTTTTGAAAGTTTTGGGTTTCTCTGGCGGCCCCCAGTGAGCCTACTCTTTTTCGAACTCCAGAGAAACGATCTTTTGCGTGCCAAGGGGGTTGTTATCCTTGACACGGGGCACCATTTAACGTCCCATCCGACGGACTTTGAATTTAAAAATAAAAACGGTTAAATACAAATATACAAAGATAATAATGTTTATAAAAATATTGACATTTAAATCTTATTGTAAAGATCTGTTTCTTGCAGGTATTGTAAAATTGCGCTAGGAGTTACATTTGCAAAAAGATCATGCATCGTTTTTACACCATTAAAAAGTTTATTTCGAACAGGTGTAAAATCAGAACATTCTAAAAGTATATGAGTGTTGAAGAAGTGTTAGCTTCACCATTGAAATTAAATAGAACGGTCTAGGGAATTTTAAGAACAGTAAGTTAAAATCTACTTTCTAAACATGTATTTCATTTTAACATACAGAAAATAAAAGTAATAATCCCAAAAGTCACAATCTTAAAGATGGCATGGACACAGATTTGAAGTTTAAATTATCTGTATAATGTACTACAACATATATTTTAATAGCCTTTCACACAAAAATAAATGAATAATCCTATTTCATCTAAAAGTTATTTAAGCTTAAAATATTTGGATGGGTTTGATTGACATGTACTTGCACATTCACAAATGTTAATTTTATTCTTTAAATGCATAGGCAAATTTTACAAATGTACCTCTCCCCATTTCTCAGTTTTAAGCTCCTAGCTGTAAGCTTAAGTGAGCTTTTCTAGTCACCTGGTTGTCTGTCCATACATATGTAATCAAAATTAATACAAAGCTTCCTGTGATAATTTGTTTAAATTGTTTAAGAGAATTAAGGCCAAGTTCATTCACATTGGAAAATACTCAAGAAAAGAAAAGAAAAGAAACTAGATACATTCTCGTTGCGAGCAACGAGAGGTCTTCCGTCCGTTCTAGGAAAAGAAACCCACGTAAAATCGAGCTGAAAAGAGATTCAAAATTTTGGTCACAAGGAGGATTGAACCCATGTCGCCAACGTGAATGCGCTTTTTTTTTTTACTTTTTTATCCTCAACGCGCTAGACATTAAGCTATTGGGAGTACTGCTCTAAACATACTTGTGTATACTTTTGCAACAGTTCACCTGTCTAAGAATTATAAAAAGCATTCATAATTTCGCGCCAAACGCCATTATTAAATAGTCGCGCCTTTTCTTTGGACTGATCTATTAAATAGGTATCATAGCTTCAATTAAATTTTAAAAATAAAACATTCTTAGCGCCTTTATTTTATTTAGACGTTAAGAAAGTATATGTAACACATTATACACATTACATATTGTATCTAGCCTAGTTACACTAAAGCAGTGAAACGGAAATTAAGTTTTAAGATTGACACTCAATTGCAACTTACTACTGTAACGTGTTGGACCTGAGCGGTCAGTAGGTCCGTTCTCGGATTACCGAGTTTTACTGGGGATATGATTGAATGCAGTATTTACAGATAATAATATGACACCTGCCTGGTGTCTTTAAATCAAATGACCTAAGTGCTTTGAACACTTATATATCTTCAGTTAATACCGGCACCTGCCTAGTGCCATATGACAATTGCCTCACCATACAACTGACTATATAAGTCAACAGCCACCTGCCTGGTGCCTCTTGATTTAGCCTTTAACACCTGCCTGGTGTCTTACTGCTTACCAAGTTGCCTATATAACTCTAGCCAAGTAACTACAATATACAAAGTATTTAACTTTGTAAGAGCTTCTCTGTCCTATTGATAAAGCTATAGCTAACGTCACACAGCTATATTTTAACTAGTCACTGACTACAGCAACTTTGCACAACTCGATTTGATCGATACACAGATTGGTTTCTGTACCAAAGTAAAGACACACGCCAATTGGCTGTACTGCCCCCTTGTACCTCAACTTAATCAATGATCATAAGTTATCAGATATCATATTGAAAAAATACTACAGACTGCTTTTCTTTTGTCAACACTATTATTATTTTCTAACAGAACATCATTTATCAATATTACTTGTATAATTCTTTTGTCAATTGACCAATTAATTACAATATTTACATTGATTATCTATTATAATATAAACAAGTAACGGGAGGTAACTCCTCCAACCATTTCACTACTACGTGAGAGTCGATGTAGTTTTTTACATTTCATGTATCCTTATGTCAGAATCGTTTAATCAAACGCTCAGCTGCCTCCATAAACCCCTACTCGCGAAATGGCGGAGTTGACAGAGAGAGCCGCCATCTTGGGCCCGCTTCAGATTTTCAAATATTAATAGCTAGCGTTCAGATTAACCAATATTCAAACAACTTATATAGTAAGCATATATAGAAGGGTTTCTATTAATATTTCTAGAATCAATAATAAATAATGGAAAACAAAAAAGTTAGAAAATAAGCTATTTTCATTTCGCATCTCCTAACGACAGGAAGTATTGACGACGAACAAATGGTCGCGTCCTGGATAGTATCTATCACGATCTATAATCGCTGAAAGTTTCACATTGATATCTTTTACCGTTCTTGAGATTAACTGCAGACAAAATTGCATTTTAAAATCAGAAAATTGTCCGTAACTTGGCACCAGAGAAATATTTCCAAAAAATCTCTCGGATAAAATAACTTCAGATAACAACACATTGTTACAGCAAATTTCATGAAAATCCATCCAGTAGTCTTCGAGAAATCGCGTGCACAAAATTAGATGGTCAGAAAAATAATAATAACTAGATATGATCTCGTTGCGAGCAACGAGAGGTCTTCCGTCCGTTTTAGGAAAAGAAACCCACGTAAAATCGAACTGAAAAGAGATTCAAAATGTTGGTCACAAGGAGGATTGAAACCATGTCGCCAACGTGAATGCGCTTTTTTTTTTTACTTTTATATCCCCAACGCATTAACCATTAAGCTATTGGGAGTACTGCTCTAAATATACTTGTGTATACCACGGTACTTTTGCAACAGTCTGTCTAAGAATTATAAAAAGCATTCATAATTTCGCGCCAAACGCCACGAGTAAATATTCGCGCCTTTTCTTTGGACTGATCTATTAGATAGGTATGATAGCATCAATTAAATTTTAAAAATAAAACATTCTTAGCGCCTTTATTTTATATCGACGTTAAGAAAGTATATGTAACACATTATACACATTACATATCGTATCTAGCCTAGTTACACTAAAGCAGTGAAACGGAAATAAAGATTTAAGATTGACACTCAATTGCAACGTACTACTGTAACGTGTCGGATCTGAGCGGTCAGTAGGTCCGTGCTCGGATTACCGAGTTTCACTAGGGATATGATTGAATGCAATATATACAGATAATAATATGACACCTGCCTGGTGTCTTTAAATCAAATGACCTAAGTGCTTTGTATAATTATATATCTTCAGTTAATACCGGCACCTGCCTTGTGCCGTCTGATAATTGCCTCACTATACTCGTAAAACTGACTATATAAGTCAACATCTATCTGCCTGGTGCCTCTTGATTTAGCCTTTAACACCTGCCTGGTGTATAACTGCTTACCAAGTTGCCTATATAACTCTAGCCAAATGGCTACAATATACTTACACAGTATGATTTAACTTTGTAAGAGCTTCTCTGTCCTGATGACAAACCTATAGATAATGTCACGCAACTATATCTTAACTATTCACTAAATACAGCAACTTTACACAATCCGATTTGATCGTAACACAGATTGGATTCTGTACCAAAGTGAAGACACATACCAGGTGGCTGCACTGCCCCCTTGTACCTCAACTTAATCAATGATAATAAGTTATCAGATATCATATTGATAAAATACAACAGACTGCCTTTCTTTTGGCAACACTATTATTATTTTCTAACAGAACATCATTTATCAAAAATACTTGTATAATTCTTTTGTCAATTGACCAATTAATTACAATATTTTTATTTATTAGCTATTATAATATAAACAAGTAACGGGACGTAACTCCTCGAACCATTTCACTACTACGTGAGAGTCGAAGTAGTTTTTTACATTTCATGTATCCTTATGTCAGAATCGTTTAATCAAACGCTCAGCTGCCTCCATAAACCCTTACTCGCGAAATGGCGGGGTTGACAGAAGCAGCCGCCATCTTGGGACCGCTTCAGATTTTCAAATATTAATAT